CCAACGATTTTTACTCTCGCTACTTTGATACAACGTCGTAACAACGTTGTGGATATATTTTGAAGAGCTGAAAAACTTTGGAAAACAAAAAAAAAAACAATTTCAGCCATCATAGGAGTAACCCGGGGGGGGGGGGTGTAGGGGGGTGGCAACCCCAACTGATCCTGTTACAGGAGGACACTGGAGGCGGCCCTCCACCTGTCTCTGACAATCACTAATGCATGTGAAACATTGAGAGAGGCTAGCCGCAGGCGTCTGAACTCCGGCCTTTGACAAACACACTCATTTAAAGATACTAGATAAGGGATCCGGCAGTGCCCGGGTCTATCCGGTGACCATATCCCCCCCCCCCCCCACGCCCCATCTCCACACCTCAACAGTTGTCAAATCACTGCCTCGGTAACAGAGAAGTAATTAATACTGCAACAATTAAATATATATATATATATATATATATATATATATATATATATATATATATATATATATATATATATATATATATATATATATATATATATATATATATATATATATATATATATATACATTTACTACCACAGTAACGCTGGAATAAAATAATAAGAAAGTTATCCCTCAACTCACCATTTAAGAGAACGTTTATGTTCTGTTTATATATATACAAGAGTTGTTACATTCTTGTAGAGCCACTAGTACGCGTAGCGTTCCGGGCAGGTCCTTAATCCTATCACACACATCACTAACGTGATGCATCAAATGAACAAATCCACAAGGGCCGTGACGAGGATTCGAACCTGCGTCCGGGAGCATCCCAGACACTGCCTTAATCGACTGAGCTACGACAGGGTAAAAAAGAGTTGAAACCGAAGTTCTACTGAACTTACTGGATCCTGTAGCCTCTCCGAGGCACAAACCAGGATTTTACCTTGTGGATTTGTTCCTTAATCCTATGGTCCCTGGAATACGACCCGCGCGAAGAATCGTTTAACAACCAAGTACACATTTTACTGTTGAGTTAAACAGAGGCTACAGTTAAGGATTTGCGCCCAGTAAATCCTCCCCGGCCAGGATACGAACCCACGACAAAGCGCTCGCGGAACGCCAGGCGAGTGTCTTACCACTGCGCCACGGAGACTGTACACATGTTCTCTATAATAACAGGTCCGTGACTCAGTACTAGGCTTCCACCGCTATGTAACTGGTATATGAGGAACAGGTTCAGGACGCACCTACACACAGCTCCTTGAGGCGCTAATGAGGCGACTGGAACACCTGGCCGACCAGGTGAGCCACGTGCATGAGCACCAGTCTTCAGTATGAGAGTGAGCACGACCCGTGAGCACGACCCGTGAGCACGACCAGTGAGTACGACCAGTGAGTACGACTAGTGAGCACGACCAGTGAGTACGACTAGTGAGCACGACCAGTGAGCACGACCAGTGAGCACGACCAGTGAGTACGACTAGTGAGCACGACCAGTGAGCACGACCAGTGAGTACGACCAGTGAGCACGACCAGTGAGCACGACCAGTGAGCACGACCAGTGAGCACGACCAGTGAGTACGACTAGTGAGCACGACACGTGAGCACGACCAGTGAGCACGACCAGTGAGCACGACCAGTGAGTACGACTAGTGAGCACGACCAGTGAGTACGACTAGTGAGCACGACACGTGAGCACGACCCGTGAGCACGACCAGTGAGCACGACCAGTGAGTACGACCAGTGAGTACGACTAGTGAGCACGACACGTGAGCACGACCCGTGAGCACGACCAGTGAGCACGACCAGTGAGCACGACCCGTGAGTACGACCAGTGAGCACGACCAGTGAGCACGACTAGTGAGCACGGCCAGTGAGCACGACTAGTGAGCACGACCAGTGAGCACGACCAGTGAGCACGACCAGTGAGCACGACCAGTGAGCACGACCAGTGAGCACGACTAGTGAGCACGACCAGTGAGTACGACCAGTGAGCACGACCAGTGAGTACGACCAGTGAGCACGACTAGTGAGCACGACCAGTGAGCACGACCAGTGAGCACGACCAGTGAGTACGACTAGTGAGCACGACCAGTGAGCACGACCAGTGAGCACGACCAGTGAGCACGACCAGTGAGCACGACCAGTGAGCACGACTAGTGAGCACGACCAGTGAGCACGACCAGTGAGCACGACCAGTGAGCACGACCAGTGAGCACGACCAGTGAGCACGACCAGTGAGCACGACCAGTGAGCACGACCAGTGAGCACGACCAGTGAGCACGACTAGTGAGCACGACCAGTGAGCACGACCAGTGAGCACGACCAGTGAGCAAGACCAGTGAGCACGACTAGTGAGCACGACCCGTGAGTACGACCAGTGAGCACGACCAGTGAGCACGACCAGTGAGCACGACCAGTGAGCACGACCAGTGAGTACGACCAGTGAGCACGACCAGTGAGTACGACTAGTGAGCACGACCAGTGAGCACGACCAGTGAGCAAGACCAGTGAGCACGACTAGTGAGCACGACCCGTGAGTACGACCAGTGAGCACGACCAGTGAGCACGACCAGTGAGCACGACCAGTGAGCACGACCAGTGAGTACGACCAGTGAGCACGACCAGTGAGTACGACCAGTGAGCACGACCAGTGAGCACGACCAGTGAGCACGACCAGTGAGCAAGACCAGTGAGCACGACTAGTGAGCACGACCCGTGAGTACGACCAGTGAGCACGACCAGTGAGCACGACCAGTGAGCACGACCAGTGAGCACGACCAGTGAGTACGACCAGTGAGCACGACCAGTGAGCACGACCAGTGAGCACGACCAGTGAGCACGACCAGTGAGCACGACCAGTGAGCACGACCAGTGAGCACGACTAGTGAGCACGACCAGTGAGCACGACCAGTGAGCACGACCAGTGAGCACGACTAGTGAGCACGACCAGTGAGCACGACCAGTGAGCACGACTAGTGAGCACGACCAGTGAGCACGACTAGTGAGCACGACCAGTGAGCACGACTAGTGAGCACGACCAGTGAGCACGACTAGTGAGCACGACCAGTGAGCACGACCAGTGAGCACGACCAGTGAGCACGACCAGTGAGCACGACTAGTGAGCCAGAGGGTAAAACAGTCAGGTTATACAAAGATTTAATAGCAGATATGACGACAAAAATCCCCAATATGCCACTGACTACTGACAGATATCGGGGACCAGGAGCTGAAGCTCGAGCCCGCGTCTCTCTCCTAGGTGAGGAGAGAGGCGCGCACACACCAGTATTGGTACACATCACCAACATAAAAAAACATTAATTCGATCTTCCGTCATATTTTGTTGTTTAACTTGATCACAATGTTTTTGGTGTGTACTCACCTAGTTGTGCTTGCGGGGGTTGAACTCTGGCTCTTTGATCCCGCCTCTCAACCGTCAATCAACAGGTGTACAGGTTCCCGAGCCTATTGGGCTCTTATCATATCTACACTTGAAACTGTGTATGGAGTCAGCCTCCACCACATCACTGCCTAATGCATTCCATGTGTTAACTACTCTGACACTGAAAAAATTCTTTCTAGTGTCTCTGTGGCTCATTTGGGTACTAAGTTTCCACCTGTGTCCCCTTGTTTGGTTTCCAATCATGATAAATAGTATACCGTTGTCCACCCTGTCAATTCCCCTGAGAATTTTGTAGGTGGTGATCATGTCTTCCCTTACTCTTGTGTTTTCCAGGGATGGGAGATTTAGCTCCCGTAGCCTTTCCTCGTAGCTCATACCTCTCAGTTCTGGAACTAGTCTGGTGGCATACCGCTGAATCTTTTCTAACTTTGTCTTGTATTTAACTAGGTATGGACTCCAGGCTGGAGCTGCATACTCCAGGATTGGTCTGACATAAGTGGTATACAGGGTCCTGAACGATTCCTTACACAAGTTTATAAAGGCAGTTCTTATGTTGGCCAACCTAGCATATGCTGTTGATGATATCCTTCTAATGTGGGCCTCTGGGGACAGGTTCGGTGTGATATCAACCCCCAGATCTTTCTATTTGAGTCTTGCAGGATTTCACCTCCCAGATGGTACCTTGTGTTCAGCCTGCTGCTCCCTTCTCCTAATTTCATTACTTTACACTTTACAAAGTTGAACTTTAGCAGCCATTTTCTAGACCATTCCTCCAGTTTGTCCAGGTCATCCTGTAGTCTCTGTCTATCTTCATCTGTCTTGATTCTTCTCATAATTTTTGCATCATCAGCAAACATTGAGAGGAATGAGTCTATACCCTCTGGAAGATCGTTTACATATATCAGAAACAGGATGGGTCCGAGTACAGAGCCCTGTGGGACTCCGCTGGTGACATCTCGCCACTCTGATGTCTCCCCTCTCACTGTTACTCGCTGTTTCCTGTTGCTTAGATACTCCCTTATCCACTGGAGCACCTTACCTTTTACTCCTGCCTGTTGCTCCAACTTTTGAAACAGCCTTTTATGGGGTACTGTGTCAAAGTCTTTCTGGCAGTCCAGGAAAATGCTGTCTGCCCACCCTTCTCTTTCTTGCCTAATTTGTGTTGCCTGGTCATCGAATTCTATTAAACCTGTGAGGCACGATTAACCATCTCTGAACCCATGTTGGTGGTGCGTCACAAAGCTATTTCCCTCCAGATGTTCTACGAGCCTTTTCCTCACGATCTTCTCCATCACCTTGCATGGTATACAAGTTAGGGAAACTGGCCTGTAGTTCAGTGCCTCTTGCCTGTCACCCTTTTATGAGGTTATCTTGAGATGATTTCTGGGCTTTTTAGTGTCCCCGCGGCCCGGTCCTCGACCAGACCTCCACCCCCAGGAAGCAGCCCGTGACAGCTGCCTAACTCCCAGGTACCTATTTACTGCTAGGTAACAGGAATCTCCTGTTACTGACACGACCGCTGTCTCGGTCACCCAACTGAATTTTTTTTATTTTGTTTTGCTGTTATACGAATGATTCCGAGCACTGTGGGTCTCCGTGAGGGCCCTGCGGAGGATACGTCATCCTGGAGGGGTCAACAGCGGACGACGATTGGTAGACAAGGTGTTAGGGTCGAGGCGTCGGGTCGAGGCGTCGGGTCGAGGCGTCGGGTCGAGGCGTCGGGTCGAGGCGTCGGGTCGAGGCGTCGGGTCGAGGCGTCGGGTCGAGGCGTCGGGTTGAGGCGTCGGGTTGAGGCGTCGGGTTGAGGCGTCGGGTCGAGGCGTCGGGTCGAAGCGTCGGGTCGAGGCGACGGGTCGAGGCGTTGGGTCGAGGCGTCGGGTTGAGGCGTCGGGTTGAGGCGTCGGGTTGAGGCGTCGGGTTGAGGCGTCGGGTCGAGGCGTCGGGTCGAGGCGTCGGGTCGAGGCGTCGGGTCGAGGCGTCGGGTCGAAGCGTCGGGTCGAGGCGACGGGTCGAGGCGTTGGGTCGAGGCGTCGGGTTGAGGCGTCGGGTTGAGGCGTCGGGTGGAGGCGTCGGGTCGAGGCGTCGGGTCGAGGCGTCGGGTCGAGGCGTCGGGTCGAGGCGTCGGGTCGAAGCGTCGGGTTGAGGCGTCGGGTTGAAGCGTCGGGTCGAGGCGTCGGGTTGAGGCGTCGGGTCGAGGCGTCGGGTTGAGGCGTCGGGTCGAGGCGTCGGGTCGAGGCGACGGGTTGAGGCGTCGGGTCGAAGCGTCGGGTCGAGGCGTCGGGTCGAGGCGTCGGGTCGAGGCGTCGGGTCGAGGCGACGGGTCGAGGCCTGACTGGGCTGAACCAATCAATATGCTCTTCCCCATCAACATTCAAATTGTGTTGTTTAAGAGACTGATCGACGGTCTCTGAGTGAGAGTTGATGGTGTTGCGAGCCTGGCCTTGCACTCAACACCAGACCGGCAACACTTGGGATCAACATACGCACGCTCACGCGCGAGCACACACACACACACAGTACTTGGACCTATACTGTTTCTGATATATGTAAATGATCTTCCAGAGGGTATAGAATCGTTTCTCTCAATGTTTGCCGATGATGCAAAAATTATGAGGAGGATTGAAACTGAGGACAATAGTAGGAGGCTACAAGATGACCTAGACAGACTGAGTGAATGGTCCAACAAATGGCTGTTGAAGTTCAACCCGAGTAAATGCAAAGTAATGAAACTAGGTGGTGGAAATAGGAGGCCAAACACAGGATACAGAATAGGAGATGAAGTACTTAATGAAACGAACAGAGAGAAAGATCTAGGAGTTGATATCACACCAAACCTGTCACCTGAAGCCCACATAAAAAGAATAACGTCTGCGGCATATGCGAGGCTGGCTAACATCAGAACAGCGTTCAGGAACCTGTGTAAGGAATCATTTAAAATCTTGTACACCACATATGTAAGACCAATCCTGGAGTATGCGGCCCCAGCATGGAGCCCGTACCTTGTCAAGCACAAGACGAAGCTGGAAAAAGTCCAAAGGTATGCCACTAGACTAGTCCCAGAACTAAGAGGCATGAGTTACGAGGAAAGGCTGCGGGAAATACACCTTAGGACACTGGAAGACAGAAGAGTAAGGGGAGACATGATCACAACCTACAAAATCCTCAGAGGAATCGACCGGGTAAACAAGGATAAACTATTCAACACTGGTGGGACGCGAACAAGGGGACACAGGTGGAAACTGAGTACCCACATGAGCCACAGAGACGTTAGAAGGAACTTTTTCAGTGTCAGAGTAGTTAACGGATGGAATGCATTAGGCAGTGATGTGGTGGAGGCTGACTCCATACACAGTTTTAAATGTAGATATGATAGAGCCCAGTAGGCTCAGGAACCTGTACACCAGTTGATTGACAGTTGAGAGGCGGGACCAAAGAGCCAAAGCTCAACCCCCGCAAGCACAACTAGGTGAGTACAAATAGGTGAGTACACACACACACACACGTCCCCTCCCCCCAACACACCGCCCCATACACACACACTACACCACCCCCCCCCCACACACACACAAGGTGTCACAGGAGTGTTACATAGAGACTGGTGGTGAGCAGTGCGGGTGTTCGCCAGCAGCAGACACACAACAGCTACAGGGAGCAGACATGCAGACGTTACCACTGCTGCTGCTGTCCTCAGGCTCGGCTACAAGTACCTCTGGCAGCCTTCACCGCCCGCTGAGAGGGGGTACCTCACCAAATGTAAACTCTCTCACCACAAGTATTCACATACATTACGTCACTCTCTAAACTTTGCAGTTGAGGAATGTAATCTGTAGTTTGCAGTTTTATAATGTAAACGGTTATGTATATTTTTCTTTAGCTTCCCCAGGAAGCAACCCATAACAGCTGATTAATGCCCAAACGTCTCCGTCCTGCGAGTGGATCGAATTTTCAGTTGGGGACAACTTGGGACAGGAGGACGTTGTTCAGGGAACAACTTGCGCTACTGGTCTCACCTGTCACAACCCAAACGGCTGTTAAGGCGAAAACGAAACAATCCGTTTACAGCGAAAGCCAAAACTCACAATATATTTTTTTTTTTTCAGAACTCGTCCTGGGTCTTGGGGTGACGGTACGGACTCCTTACTGAACCTCCGCCGGCCACACCGGACCCGGCGCTACTCGGGGCAGTAACTCTGACCAACAGGAAAGGAGGAATTATCAGGGGGAAAGCGCCAAGCCATCACGACTATATAGCACTGAAAAGGGGGTCAGGATAAGGATTTGGGATGGGACGGGGGGAAAGGAATGGTGCCCAATAACTTGTGGACGGTCGGGGATTGAACGCCGACCTGCATGAAGCTAGACCGTCGCTCTACCGTCCAGTCCGAGTGGTTGGATGTGACGCACAGAATGACTTAGTTTCCCGTTCTTTAACTGGAAGAGTTCTCAAATTTTGCATCAGAAAACGCACCACCAGGGTTCGAATCCCGGGCAGAGAGCAATGATTATGAACTACACCCCCCCCCCCCCCACCCCACTGTTCACCCCCTCTTCTACCAGCAGTAATAAGAGACCTGGTTGTAAACCAACTGGCGGTTAGAGTTAAAAGATAAAAGGTAGTACGACAAGGCTTAACGTGAGACGTTAAGATCTGCCTATGTGGAGGAGTGTGCAGGAGCGACCCGCCCTGGTACACCTTGTTACACGCTGCCCCTTCACCACCTGACTGGTGACTGGTGCTCTGGGACCCGCCTCACTCCCTCCCCTCCCTCCTCTCACCCTGCCCTCACCCTGCCCTCACTCTGCCCTCACCCTGCCCTCACTCTCCCCTCACCCTGCCCTCACCCTGCCACCCGCAGGCACGCCACATCCTCAGTTAACAAACAGTTAATGCTTCAGCTCATTGTTTGACAGTAAAGCAGCAACTAAAGCATTAGCTCCGTGTTCGAGAGGAGAGAAGCCAAGGATTAGCTCCGTGTTCGAGAGGAGAGAAGCCAAGGATTAGCTCCGTGTTCGAGAGGAGAGAAGCCAAGGATTAGCACCGTGTTCAAGAGGGTTGTATGGGCGGCACCAGGCCCTCTGGAAGCCTCCCAGCTTGAGTGACATCAAGCTTAACATTACCCACTGTTGACTTGCTTCAATATAGTCCTCGTTCCCACCAACCTGCTGAGGTAATTATGAGGAAAATGCACTAATCTAGTACGACTATGTATCACTTGGAAGGGACACTACTCGAGGCGTCGGGTCGAAGCGTCGAGGCCGTGTCCTACTACTCGGACACGGAGCTAGGTTACGAGGGCAATGAGAAGGGATATGAGGACAAGGAGATGACATACAAGGACAAAGGCGATGGGATATGTGAAGGGAGTTAACGAACGATGACCAACTACTCACACCATCAGGATTCGAACGCAACTGTGAGAAGCGACGTCTCTCTTCTTCAGACAAGTTCGATAATGCAGGCGATGAGTCACAATAACGTGGCTAAAGTATGATGACCAGACCACACACTAGAAGGTGAAGGGACGACGACGTTTCGGTCCGTCTTGGACCATTCACAAGTCGATTCTCAATACAATCGACTTGAGAATGGTCCAGGACGGCCCGAAACGTCGTCGTCCCTTCACCTTCTAGTGTGTGGTCTGGTCAAGTCCGATAGTGTCCGTCGGCGGGCAGAAAGGCTTGACGCGTCCTCAGCCACTTGGTAATCCCTTGTAGATGCACTCACCACCGCCTGGCGCACCTCACCCGCCAGCTGTTCCTATTTATAAATTAGGAAGATGTGCCGGGGCCCGGGAGGGGGAGCCCCTCTCAGGGGATGTAACGCCCGCGTCGCTGGGCCTCGGAGGCAATTTCCTGGAGCACAGTTTGCATGCGGACGAGGTCATCTTCAGTCTTCATACGCTTGACACGTCTGACACTCCCCATCACGATATTTTACCCCAAGACGCTTACCTCCAGTAGCTCATCAGACGTGTGCCAAGACTAGGGGTCCTACAGTCTCCAGTAGCTCATCAGACGTGTGCCATGACTAGGGGTCCTACAGTCCTCCCCCCCTGCCATCACGACACACGCCCACGTACTCCCACATAACATTAAACTGCAGAAGGCCTGTTGAACCGCGCTAGGCTGCTCCGGACTTATATTTAGCCTCTGCGTAAACCTGGCGATCCCACCGCTGCGTAACTCGGTCATTTGATACACAAACTATCGTCAGGTTGTTAGCGAATGACGGTGAAAATGATGAATGTTTAATACAGTTGTCTGGAGTTATTTATCTAGTACACGGCTTTGCTCTTGGTTAGTGTCGGGGAGGGGCGGGTCAGACGCGGTCAATATCACCTCACCCCACCCCAACTTCACCTGCCTCACCCCACTCCCAACATCACCTGTCTCACCCTACCCCAACGTAACCTGCCTCACCCCACCCCAACATCACCTGCCTCACCTCACCCCAACATCACCTGCCACACCCCACCCCAACATCACCTGCCTCACCTCACCCCAACATCACCTGCCTCACCCTACCCCAACAACACCTGCCACACCTCACCTCAACAACACCTGCCACACCTCACCCCAACATATTACCCTTAAAGCCTGTATATCTCAGATTTGATAAAAGACTTTTGCAACAAGTTATTTCCAAATTAAGTCCACTCTCGACTTGGAGCTCTCTTCCTAGCGGCCAAATATTCCGTGAGAGAGACCGGCTCTTAAGAAAGGATCCCGGCACCCAACACTCGCCCTAAAGCACCAAACCGCATCACAGAAAGTACAAGACGCCTTCTGGACCCAAGAGACGCTAGAGCTGCTGTAAGAGGCCGGTGTTCAGCAGTCACCTCACCTGACCTGGCCTCGTACAGCTGTATATGGGGACGGCGCCGTGCGGACTACGGTTTACGGGTTATTCATGCCCGTGCCAGCTCTTGGGTGGCTTAATCTTTATCAATCTGCGGACTACACAAGGGACTGGACGAAGGGAGCCGGTCGGCCGAGCGGACAGCACGCTGGACTTGTGATCCTGTGGTCCTGGGTTCGATCCCAGGCGCCGGCGAGAAACAATGGGCAGAGTTTTTTTCACCCTATGCCACTGTTACCTAGCAGTGAAATAGGTACCTGGGTGTTAGTCAGCTGTCACGGGCTGCTTCCTGGGGGTGGAGGCCTGGTCGAGGACCGGGCCGCGGGGACACTAAAAGCCCCGAAATCATCTCAAGATAACCTCAAGATCTCAAGATGATGTTGTCGAGGCCAACACGGTGCAGAGGGGCAGTATCACGAGATATAAATATATATGAAGCTTGTATTAACCGGCCGGTACGGGTGTGGCTTGGGAGCTGGAGGTCGACATTACGAGCTCATCAATGT